TTCCATTTAAAAACGCAAAAGTTGAGTAATTCCAGGGATCAGACGGTCGTAGTAAACCTAGGGTACCGGCACTTACGTAATTAATCATAAACTAAGTCCAGATCCGTGTATAGCGAACAGAGTAATGTACTAGGGATGTTCGTTTTAAAAAGAAACATCGATATAATAGATCAAACATTTTTGTTTTCAATTTAGGATATATCGTCGGAAAAAAGTGGTTTTCGTGCTCTACACATGGAGCTATAAACTATGGAGTGTAGAGATAATAAAGGTAGTGATGGGCAAAACTGTTATTTTTAGATAACAGTTGAAACTGTTTTAGTTATTTATAAAAAACAGCTTAAAATAACAGCTTAAAAATAACAGGTTTCTTTATTTTACTGCTAAATATCTGAAAGTATGAGGCGGTCACCGCCAGGCGTATTAACGCAGTTGCAAATTGCAACAATGACGTGCTCGGTGGTAATATTTCCAGGGTGTCAAAACATTTCTAAATATGGATTGTTATCTAAAAATACCTCTCTAAAAACGGTGGTTGTTTACAAATAAGCGCTGTTTACAAATTGCGATATAAAAAAGCCAAAATTCCGCCACTCGTCTATACCTATACATTCCGATCTACCTACGCCCTGCCCCTCGATCCGCGTAGATCCTGAATTGAGTAGCAGTGTACAGGGTGCATCTTACTCGACGGGCGAGAAGCTCTTAGTTATGATTTTACCATTTGCGGTCAAAAAATAACAATATAAGAAAATGTCTAGTATATTCTTCATAACTTCACACTAGAGTTCGAATTTATTTTACACTTAAACTAGCGTGTACCCGCGACATCGTTCGTGTCGAATTAATAATTTCTAATGGTGATGATAAAGCAAAACATGATAAAGCAAAACAAGAATTTCCATTAACATACAGACTGGATAAAATTTTCTCACATGTGCCAAAAATAAGCTTTAAACGTCGAGCAGTTTAAGCAGAATCGTGGTTAATCAATTACTCAACTTTTTGGAACACCCTGTATGATTTTTGAAAAAATGTCAAAATATGTAAAAAAACAAAATAAAATATACGTGTTTAAGAGTTTTTCCGAAAGACTAACCGTTTTTAAATAACAAATATTGTAATATTTGAGGGGCGTTTTCACCCTGTTGGAATTTGAGATTCGAGAAACCCCTCCTTATCGAACCTCAACCCCACAGTCAATCCGTTTGCCAAAAATCAGCTTTAAACGTCAAGCAGTTTAAGCAGAATAGTGATTACTCAATGGTCATATTTTATGAAACACCCTGTATATATTTTTTAAAAATCTGAATATATGTAAACAACATAATAAAATATACGTGTTTTAAAATAACCACACCGGTTTTTAAATAAAAAATATTCTAATATTTGAGGGTAGTTTCACCCCCTTAGAATTCGAGTTTCGAAAAATCCAGAATTTTTCAGAATAAATAAATACCTAAATATTGAAACTTAATAAGTAAGTACTGAAACATACAGCGCCATAATATCTCGACCTCCGCCCGTTATGCTCGTAACAGGTTGAAAAACAATGTACTATCTAAAATAACTAATGTGTTATTCTCCAAACTGTTTCGAACCTCCATCGACAATCGACCGATGCAGCAGCGTTCCTTTCCCACTCCGATTATCTCGACCACCGCCCTGTTATGCTCGTAACAGGTTGAAAAACAACGTATCTAAAATGACTGCTTCTCCAACCCGTTGCGAGCCTCCATCGACAATCGACCGATGCAGCAGCTTTCCTTTCCCACTCCTGTTATCTCGACCGCCAGGCGTTATGCCCGCAACTGTTTCAAAAAACCTGCTTCTTTTATATCCTATTATTTTTAAGCGGTATCGACCGAAGCAGCTACGTTCGCCGTAGCGCATTCCCCATTCCGCTGTCCGTTGTCTCGCCGCCCGTATCGATGGTTGACGAAATAACATGTTTTCCATCCATACTAGTTGTTTTTTGGAATTGCTTCGAGCAGCATAGAATTTCGTGACGGTGCAGAGCGCCGACTTCGTTTTTCGTTTTACGAGCGGCCGATCTCTACGTGTCGTTATTTTATATCTGTTATTTTTTAGAAGTCGTAACGGTTGCGTTATGTTATTTATAAATAATTGTTATAAAATAACAGATAGTTAAATAACAACCCATCACTAAATAAAGGTAATCTCTACATTCCACACTGTAAACTGAACCGTAATGATCTAGTGACCGCTAAGATTGTATAAGCGATACCAATTGAACGTTTAGTTTGGTTTGGTTTGAGTTGGTATAATTTAAGATACCGAGCAGCTCTTCATTTTACTTTATAGAGCAAATAATTGTAACAGATATTTTATTTAGATTAAAGCTGCAAAAATTAGTTTAAGCCGAATTTTGTTATCGTTATGTTGGTCACATTACACCGTGTTCAACAATGATGTCCTTTATTACTGGACTTTTTTTCTTGACTTTATTATTTGAATATCGTGTTGTTGTTGAATCTTTGTGAGCAATTTCGAAAACAAAATTTTCGAGTTTTTTTATTGCATTTCTTGAAATTATGTGTTGAAAATATGCCAAACCATTTAAACAGTCGAAAAAAGGAGCTTGTAGCTTCCCTGATAAACAATTTCATAGCCAATAAAGGTCGTTTATTACCCTTGACTGCAGTCAGAGAAGTAAGTTTGATGGATAAGCACATTATACCACTTTATATAACTACTCTTACTTGTTATTACCACTTACTATTAATTTAGAAATAAAACGTAAAACCTTTTAAAAAATTATATAATGAATATATTATTTGTCAACTTTAAATTAAGATTCATCTCATAAATCCATCGCAATCTGGCAGCGCTGTCGCCATCGCTTGTCACTCAAAATTGATCACGTGCATCGAAAATTGTTTTGCGATTACATCAGTAACATTGGATCGCAATATCGATATATCGAGATGTATGCACATCCCTATAGCACACACCTACACCTACACTAGTTCTGGGATGTCTGAGACACCGATAAACAGGGAAGTTAATAGGGCGATTTGGACGGATCGTTAAGAGCCGAATATAAAAGTTTATCGGGATTTTATTTCGGAAAGCTTACCGGGGAATCGTAGCTACATCAATTTTGCTCAAAATGTGCGAAGCTAATGCCAAGAAAGTTTAGTTTTGCAGCTCTATCTAGGTTATGATTAAAAAGTTAACTTTTTAGTGCAACTTTTTCTATTTCAACCAATGTAAGTATGTTTCTAGAATTATTATCCAAGTATCAAAGTAAAGATAGTTGAGTTCTACTTCTTTCTCCTCTATTTGTTGATTAAGCGGAATTTACACTGTATTACTGTTGATCTACATCCAATGTGAGTCACTCAGAGTGAAATCATTCAGTGTAAACCAAATTAAGACGTACTAAGAGAAAAAATATGGTTCATATTTCTTTACATTTGAAGAAATGCATTTTTTTGAAAGGGATAATATCTCATACAAAGTTACGAGAGTCACGAAATGGCAGAATAAAGGCTGAATCTCACTATACCTTTCTAGCTAGGAAAGGAGCGAACACTCCACTAACTGGAGCAGAACCGTTCTGTTTTCCAAACAGGAACCAACTGAAAGCGGAAGTGAAGTAACTTGGAATGGGTATCCCCCAACGATCTAAGACACTCGAAAAAGTTCCTCAGAACTTACGACCGAGAAAAATCAAAGGTTTTCCTTGATTTAAGTAAAAACAATCTTCGGATTGTCACGGGGTTTCTAACAGGACACTGTCTCCTCAACGAACACCTCAGTAGGCTGAAGCTGAGAAACAACGGCGAATGCAGATTCTGAGGGGAAAATGGGGAAACACCAGAACACCTTATCACTGAGTGCGCCGAGACGACGACCATTCGTGCCAGAACTTTGGTACGGCTGATGTCGAGGATGGAGAGCTTGCCTCTATGGAGCCGTCTCAGATACTGGCTTTTGTTAAAGCCTTGAGACTGTATGATGAGTTGTAACTCGTTATAACTCAAGAAAGGGGAACACACAATAGATCTATAAGATCGCGGTGATTAACTCCCCTTCTTAACATTCTACAACCTCACTATACCTTCCGTTTCCATTCCATATCCGTTCCGTATTTTTTATTGTGTTGACGATATACGTAAAAGCTTCCGTTCCGTATCAGTTCCATTCTTTTTATTGTTAATTTAACATTATGAAAGTTTTTTTTTAAAAATGTGTATCTATTGAAGAAGGTAATAGATTTAATTAAGAGGTGAAAGAATAAATAAATATGAGCAAAATATTAACAGAGCTGGTACACATGTAAGAACTTGACAACTCTGTTTCCGATACGCTTCAGTCCGTCCGTCAAAAAAATGTATGGAAGAAAAGGATATGGAACGGAAGGGAAACGGAACGGATAGTGTATATTGTCCTTTTGGCAAAATGTTCTTTTTTCGGATGAGACCAGACCCTGTCAATCAGATGTAGAAAAAAGTATCTTTTTTTAAGACTATTTTAAGAGGATTTGCATAATAGTCCCGTTGTCTGTCTGATGCAAACTTTCATCGCGTCTATCCAGATTCGATTAAGGACATGATTTGTAAAACTGAATCGTACGAAGTCGTAAAAGCGTTCAGCGTTATAAATAAAGGGCAACACAAAGGAAATAACAATAAAACAGTCCATAAAAACGGCGTCCCGATTCGTGCAATCAAAAAACTACACCGGTATATACCGGGCGGATTATGGCCTATTATTCCTCCATACAATAAAGCTTTTTACGAACACGCGAATGTTAATCCGCGTCGAAAATAATATTAGTCGAGTTAAAAAGCCGAATAAAAGTTTATATCTCGTGAATTAGGACCGTAGAAAGGAAGTCGGACTTGCTTTATTATTTTCTAATCCAAGAGCACTAGGGTACTTAACACTTACGCTCTTTTAGCCCATCCTAAGCTTATTTAACTTTTTTATTAAATAGACTGAAAGGAACAGTGCCACGAAAAAGGAATCTATACCATAATAATTTAAGCTTTATTGAATTTAATACATCTATACACATATTAATCCAGAATCGCTTCTTTCATTTCTCAATCATTATCATTATCTTCCTCCTTTCTTAACACGACCCACTGAAAAAAACACAGTAAATGTTTAAAAGGACGATCCTTTTTTATTACGACTATATACATCGTATATACTTTATCTTTTTTCTTGGGTGGCACCAAATGATCCGGTAGCTGCACTGGAATCTCGTTACCATTTAATTTCACGTTGATCAAATGCATTCCCAAGGCAAACTCATCTCTATCCAAACAGCCATCTTTGTCTACGTCGGAAAGTTTCCAAATTTTGGCCAGGACGGAGTTGGGCAGCTTGGATTTCATAAACTCAGCCTAATCAAGGGACATTAAAGTAAGTCAAGAGGCATTACAGATATGCCTATGGCTACGTTTAAGATATTGACCCTGTATATATAAACTTACATAAATTAATGATTTAAGTACCTTTACTGTTGCTCCAGATAATTTACCATTGACTGGCACCAAACTGTCAAACAGCAAGTCATATGATGCTCGTTCTTTGTTCACTATCCATTCTGGTTCACCAAATCCAGCATTGCATCCTTCTCCACTTTTGTAACCAAATGGAGTCTGCTTTTCTTCCACGTTGTCGAACGCTCCACCTTTGACCTAAACCAAAATATTGCAGTGTAACTGAGACTAAGCGATTCAAAATTACTTCAATAGTTGGATATTCTGAGTTAGTTTATTTGGTTGGCAAGTTTAGGAAATTCAAATATTTATCAACTATCCTGATGTTTAAATTAGTTTTCCATAACTGTGAGACTAATCAAAGAACTACAATACTTAACAGCAAAAATAACGCTTTATACACTTTTCGGTATTTTTCCAACAAGGACGGTTTAAATTTTTGAGATTTTTTTGGGGATTTTTTCGATTTTGAAGATACTGACTTTGGCAGAGAAAATGTTTTCTGTCCTTGTGTGCTGCTGTTCTTAGCAATTACTAAAGCAGCACTCTACAACATATGCAATCCAAAACAATTCTAAGTTTCGGGAGGAAGTTTTGTAAGTTTTTGCATTCCAATCTAAACTTATTTCTTTTATCTATGAATTACTTAAAGCTGTAATTTTATTCTTACATCAAATATAGTAACGATTCATTGTATCCAAGCGCAGAGAAAAAATGTGTCATACGTAATTGATTATAGATTTAATGCCTCCGATAGAACACGGGGATTTTGAGAAGGGATGGACGAAGGAACAACAAGAAAAAAGGACGGAAGTGACACTGACGTATAGTACGTCGGTTGGAGAGGTGATATCTTTTTCATCCTTCATAAACGGTCGAACAAAAGTGATCTCGACTTTTAGCCCTAACTTTGATGGAAATTTATGAGCCCGGAAGAATTTTTATAGACTGGTTTTTACATTTACTGGCATGTATCATATATAAAACAGGCTGAAAAGGATCTCTGAAAAATCAATCTGTCAAATAAAAGCATTAAAATTACAATAATAATTTTAATGCTTTATTTCTCCAGGCGTATTTAAGTTTTTAAAACCAAATATTGTACTGATATTGTCTATTTACTAAATTTTGTGTTTCATTAATAAAAATTATACTACCTTATACAGAGTGTCTAAAATTTTATTTTAAATAATAATTAGCTATAAACGGCAATAACTTGTTTAATTTAAATGGAACACCTTGTATATTTTACAAGAATCAGATGCACAATTTAATTGTCTATCAAATTGTATTGTATCATATTTTACCTATGTCTTCAGGTTTCCGTAGAAAACGCATTTTCTTATAATTTAGACCTCAAAAATCAATATACCCATGGAATATTGACATTTTTGATTATTTTTAAACATGTAACAAATTTTTAAATGGCACAGATACTAATATTGTCGATATAGTTCGTTTATCTTATTAAAAAATAAAAAAAAATGTTTAAATATTTGTAAAAGAGAACAAAATAATATGATTCCAGTATTCAAACTACATTAATTGACTGTTTGCGTTGATTAATAATAATTGCTCCAAATACTAAAAACCTTAATTTTGTATGTGTATTAGACAGCGTGGTAAAAAGTAACACCTTAAAAATGTTATTTCATTTTTTGACGGATGCTTGGTATATTATTATCGTTTTTAGCACCTGTACATTTGTTGCTTTAAAAACAATCTAAAATGTCAATATTTCATGGGTATTTTGATAAATGAGGTCTAAATTATAAGAAAATAAATGCATTTTCTACGAAAACTTGAAGGGATAGGTAAAAATGGTATAATACAATTTGATGAACAATTAAATTGTGCATCTGATTCTCCTAAAACATACAGAGTGTTCTATTTAAATTAAACAAGTTATTGCCATTTAAAGCTGGAAATTATTTAAAATAAATTTTTAGACACTCTGTATGAGGTGGTATTATTTTTATTATTGCAACACAATAACTGATCAATAATTAAACTTCAGTAAATATCTAGTATTAAAAACTTTGATACCCTTGGAGAAATGAAGCCTTAAAATTTTTACTGCAATTTCACAAAATTGAAAATATTTAAAAAACGGTAAGGTTTAAGACTGATAAACCTTAATCAAATTTACCTTTATTTTAATCATAGAAATTAAAAATGTAATAATATACAGGGTGTTCCATTTAAAAAAATACAACTTTGATATTTTTTATTTATTTGGGATACTCTGTATCATGTAAAAATATTTTTAAATTGTAGCTCTAATAGTCCTTCAACGAACCCAAAACTTACAATTTGTAAAAATCTCATCGTTTAGCTACAATACTCCGTGTCGTTTGTGGTGAACAACCCTGTATACTCAACTATGAAAAGTATGTCGCCAAAAATCGCTTAAAGAAAAATTCTTTAGCTGTGCATAATTTGTTAAAATATGAAACGCCACTGTCTTTTCTCCTTTTTTAATTTCCGATTTCTGGAAAGCGCTACGATATTTCAACAGAGAGAGATAAGTTGCTGGGACTGGTTTCCTTCCAGTTTTCCGCGCGCATACGGCACAGAAACATTAATATAAAACGAACGATTGTCTTGTCAGAACAGGATATTTAATTTATGTATCTGATGTGTTTTCGACATTAATTACGTTTTGACAGGTGACAGAAGGTAACAGCGATTCGAGAGTGTCGATTTTCGCGTACACCCTCCTAAGATATTCGCGTTTACAGGTTGCGTCTCATGCATAATTCAGGAAATGCTTTAGACTGGAAACGAGTATAATTCGAATTTTAAAAGTTTCAGTAACTTACTTTAGAACGTTAGAAGGTTCGGAATATTGTTAAGAAGTTTATATATAACACGCTTTTGTTATACTTTGTATTGGTTTTGTACTATTTTTGATTGTTAAGAAATAACTTTTATTTTAGAAGAACTTAGAAGTTATATTTATTTATTGCCAAGATAAGAACGAAATAGAAAAAATTAAGCTTTGTTTCGGAGATACAGGGTGTAGAAATTTCATTTTTGTTTTGATTTTTTCCAAATAATTTCTAAACTAAATGTCATTTGGATGAAAATTGGTGTAGGGGTGGTTTTTTACATGAGAAATTGATTCCGATGTCAATATGACACCTACTTGTACGGGGCACCACCTACATTTTTTTTTCAATATAATTTCACTATCACTCCATTTATTCCTACCTGATCCATTTATCTACCACATTTTTGTTTCTTTTGATGCATCAACATTTTACTAGATCAACTAAATGTATTCAACGATAAAAATGAAACATATGAACACAAATGCCGTTTTATGTCATTCAGTAAGACCTTAAGCAATTACAAGAAATGCTAAACACATACCGGGTGTTGCATCGTCGGACGGGACATAGGAAATCCCATGTAAATTTTAATGGGGTCAATTATAAAAATTAAAGAATAACTTTAGATATTTTTGATTAGCTCGTTTACGAGTTATCGCCGATTTTTTTTAAATATTTCTCCTTTCTTATGGCCCTGTATTTACTTATGAGCACCAGTCAAGGTAAAAGATAACTGTCAAATGAAGTTGTCATTTCAGAAATTTACCTATTTAGTGCTTTATTATTATTGAAAACTCATTCCTACATCGGAAATCTTAAAGATGTATTTATAAATACAAATTAATATGAATTAAAGTAAAATAAAGTAATCAATTACAAGGTTAATTATAGTATTATTACAATATTCAATAACTTATTAATTTAGGTACTATTAAATGACAACTTTATTTGACAGTTATCTTTTACCTTGATTGGTGCTCATAAATAAATACAGGGCCATAAGAAAGTAGCCGTAAACGGGCTAATCAAAAATATCTAAAGTTATTCTTTTGAATGTAGGTTTTAGTGCTCTTCAATAAACCTAAATAGAATTATTCTCTAAAATAATTAGGGAAGCCAATAATTGATCATATTATAATTTACATGGGATTTCCTATGTACCGCTCGACGATGCAACACCCGGTATACGAGGCTCTAAGCCTTAAGCCATCGAAAAAAATAATGTGCACTCCCACGGAAAATCATAACAATGCTATAAAAATCGGAGAACTATTGGAATATGTAGCGGAATTCAATTATTCTATAGCTCTAATTTTTCGTCCAAATCATGCATTTTAGTTACTATAAATGAAACAATAGTTATTAATACCTCTAACATTGTTGGTGGACTTGTATCATGCGGTACCATGGCCATCAATTTTGCTATATCCTCCGATAACATTCTGTCAACTTCCTCCAGTAATTTAGGTTTATGCGGCTGAAACTTACTAAAATTGTACTTTGACAAGCTCTCCTTCATTTTTTCTACGTCAGGCAAATCCGTAACTGATATCTGTTGCTCTCGTCTGATCCTATCATAAATATGATCTAAATTCTTGATCAAATCTCTCTTCTTCTTTTCTTTACCGAAAATCGGAACTTCTTTTTCCAATTCCGCTATGATAAGAGCGTGTACTTTAGCTAGACGGGCTCTTTTGATCAGATCGTTTAGTTTTCTGAGCGCAGAGTTTTTGGGTAGACTCTGGAAATCCTTGAACAAATCTTGTGTTTCATCTTCGAATAGTTTTCTGTTGATGTCATACCTGTTAGAAAAATAAAAACGGTTTAGTAAAATAATCTTAAAATTATTTAAATATAATGGATTGTTATTTATTATTAGTGATGTATTGAACAAAAAGGAAGACTAGCGTTAGCTCTGGAAAGCAAAAGACCAAAACCGATCATCAGTGCAAGATTTACGCAAAATCAAGACCCATCATACAAGACTCTTGCGGTTTTACTGTTGCAAGGCCAAGACAAAGATTAATTATTAGATTAAGTCCAAGAAGAAGGAAACTTTGGTCTTGGTCTTGCATTTGTCTATCGTTATTTATTATTAACAGCTCATATTTCCAACAATATCGAAGAAAGAAATAAACTTTGAGGTATTGAGTTGCATGAATTGCAATATACAGGGTGGTCTAAACTTTATTCCGGATACTTCGGCAGCATATTCTGCAGATAAACAACGGACGAAAAGTAATTACTCTTCATATAAGTTAAAAAATATGTAGGTGACGCCCTCTACAAGCAGGAGTCATATTGACATCAAAAAAAATTCTCATGTCAAAAAACTCCCAGAAACCAATTTCCATCCAAATATTGACGTTACTTCAGAAATTATTTGGAAAAATCGAAATAAAAATTAAACTTCTACACCCTGTATCTCCGATACTAAGCATTTTAGAACATACATTCACACGGACTTTTTTACTTATTTTTATCTGCAGAATATGCGGCCAAAGTTTCCGGAATACAGTTCGGACCACCCTGTTTAATATCTATGTCCATGAAAAAAATTTGTAGGTTAACAGAAAAAAAAAATAAAATATTTGCTTTATTTTGAAATTTACTAGAAAGAACCATTTGTTCAAAACTACCTACCTATTCAAAAGATACCTTTACATTTTCAAACATTTACCTTTAGAAGCCCAAAGCCCAAATTAAAATAATTATTTTAATTAATCAACACCGAACCACAACCTGGACTAAAAGGGCGCTCTCTCGGAGGCGATTACAATTAATTCAATTAGTGTTTAATCAGCATTATTAGTGACCCTCTTCCTGCCAATGAAATAAACGTATTAAAGTGTCCGAAAGTCGGTAATTGGACGTAATTAATTGATGCTGCGGCCAAGTTGGTTCATCAATCATTATCGCGGCACCTTTCTCTGCTCCTGTATCCGAAAATGCCATCCATCGCACGGATCTGTTTATTTAGCGCGTCATTCTTTGTATTATTAATAACTAATAAATTAGGTATTGCTACATTTCATTGGGTAATATAAAAACAAGTCTATCTTGCTGAATTGCACAATCTATATACATTTTTATTCAATTTTCTGTCAATTTTCTTCGATGCCTTCTGTCGAAATAATCAGTTCTTGTTAAAGACACACCTTGTAGAAGAATGTAAAATCAATGGGAGGGGGGTTAATCACCAAGACCCAAAGATCTATTGTCTCCCTTTCCTGAGTTATAACTCATCATACAGTCTAGAACTCATTGTACATGAGAATTTTCCTGTTATAGAAGGAACAGGGTAATTTCTATTATCCACTGATAACAGATGTACTTCCTCCGAGGAATCTACCTCCTACGAGGGTATACACCCTTCCACGGTTAGGGTTTGGCCCTCCGTACCCTTCACAGTCGAGGAGCTTGTCTCCGGCAGAGGTACCCGTGAGGTGATGGCTGGAGAATCTGGTCTTCACTTTCTCCACCTCTTTAAATTAATCTCTCCTTAAACCTGATGCCGGTGTTGTCTGGCATCTATAATAGAGGATATCTCCCTTTCTCTATTGCCTCCTTGGATTTCAGGGCAATTCCTATTGTGAAAAAATGATCGTGGCCCTCCTCCCTCGAGTCAATGACTCGCCAACTCGATGTCCTTACACTGGAGTTCTGGCAAAGCTGGTGATACGTCCTTGCTTGGCTCTCGGTGTTGGACGGCTTTCCATCCTGGCTTTTTTCTCTTCTTGCCGGAGCAGAGGTGAGAGGTTCTGGCCATTGGTGGAGATGCACCACGCTGTTTCTTGGTTCCTTTCCAAAATCAGTGTATATAGTGTGTAAAGTGTTCTCGAATAGTTAAATTTAAATATTTTAAATAGTTTTTTTTCTTTATTCTTTGTATTTTTTTGCTTCCGATGACGGAAAGAGATAAACTTTCCGAAACGTTAAGCATTTTTTTTTGTTAGGCTAATTTGTATAACTGTAAACATAACTTCTGACAAGCAGTGTCCGTTTAGGTTTAACGCAGACGTGTTTACAAAAAATAACTATTTTATTTTGTAGATTTTCATGCAGTGCAGTGGCGAAATACCCATAAAGGATTTTTTTGGAGAGATGAATCTGCCACATAGGTATAGACATTTTTAGTGTTTATATCTTTTATACAATGTAAACGAAAAAAAAAAGGCAAGAGCGATGGTTTTGAAATGACGCTCGCTATCATGTTACAGGGAGAATGTCATTGATCGTCATTTCCAAACCAACTGGACGCCGTTTTTTTCGATCATACGGTACCCCCATGTCTGTATTAAATTCTATTACAAACTAATAGTGATGTTATGCTAGGACACTTCTATATTTAATAATTTCTTTAATTTTTTAGATATAGTTACTTCAAAAATAATAGAAATACAAAGTCGTTGTGTTCAGAACTCCATACCATATCGATTGGCCATATCAAACTATAAAACTAATATATAGCTTGTCGCGTTGTCAATTTTCCGTTTTATGACAACATAAATAAGCAGTTATCGTAACTTTTCACGAATTTTTCTCCGTTGTTGTTAATGTTGCGTTGATTGCCATATATAAATCATGAAATGCCTCCGTCTTAATGGAACGTAATGTTGTAAAATTAAAAGGCACCGAACGATTGGCCACGTTTGACATTACGAACGTTTATATAGTTGTGAAAATTAATTAGAAGCTAGGTAACGCTTTTTTTATTAGTTAAGGTCATGAAACAAAGGCATTAATTACCTCTTTATCTTAAATAACGATCGTTAGATGTGGCATTGAAATCGAGAAATACATGACAGTGTTGCGCTTAAGAAATATAAATTAAGTTAAGTGAATAACTGCAATCCTGTTGCTTTTAAAAATATGTTTTAATTGAACTTTACACTTAATTTATTTAACTACTTTTTACTTATCAAAGGGGAATAGATATTTGCGTTACACAGGGTATCTAAAGAAACTACTTTAGTTTATAATCGTCTGCTGATGATGCTAACATGGTTAGCGAAACGCGCGTCCAGTGTAAAAGTAAAAGTGTTTTGGTGTATTGTGGTGATTTAGTGTTTTTATTTTGCTATTAGATCAACATTTTGATAATTTTAGCAGCGTTTTTTATCTTTTGATTGCTTTTTAAAAATGCCAACAACTTCAACTACTTCAAACTATAAAGGCATTTTGAAAAAGCCTTTAAAAGATAAAAAAAACGCTGCCAAGACTATCAAAATGTTGATCTAATAACAATTTGACGTTTATACTATTACGCGAAAAGCAACTTTTTTCCAAAGCCTACCATGACTTCACTGAATCATCGTTTCTTGTTCACTATTAGTAATATCTTAATTATTAGATATTAATACATCTGGTATTATGGTATTCTGGTATTTCGTCGATTTTAAAATAAACTAATTGTTTCTATCTTATTTTTTTGTTAGAATGGGCCTATCAAGAGGGCTCCTGATACTGTATTGTATTATAGTACCCATTATCTAGGCAAAATTCTGTAAAAAAATCTATTTTCTTATTTTCCATAGCAGTTGCGCCACCTAGCGGCCATTTTACAAACTTGAAAATAATTTCCAGCAATTTCTCATAGCCCCTTTAGTTATAAATATTTTTTTCCGTAAGCCCTACGGCTAATACTTTCCGAGATACAGCCGAGAGCTATTCTTAGTGGGACACCCGGTACAGCGTAATAGGCTCTTAAGGATTTTCTAAGGATGTTACAAGAATTTCTTAAAACACAAAATATCACGTATTTGTATAGTACCTTAAGGGTTGATCCCAGAACGTTCCTATAAACACTCTGACTACCTCAGGCGTCTGCAGTACCTTGCCCAGTGACCACATCAGTGCCCCATATACACGCATCAACTGCTGATGGTCCACCATATCTGCCTAAAATTGCAGAAAAATAACAGTTAAAAAAAATCCTCGAAATATGCTGCCTGTAAATTTTATCGTTTAAGGAGGAAATCGAGTAGAAAATTAATTCACGAGCGGTGAAATATTAATAAATAAAATGTTTTATGCTTGAAAAAGCGAACTATTTAAGAAAAATCTACTCGAATTATCTGAATGGCAGATGGATCTCAAAACCGAGAACCGAACGAAAAATACCGAAATTCTATACCTTGTTGAGGATAATTCGGATTTTGTCGTCGTGACCGCGAAGTGCTTCGATCGAACGCCGGAATTCGTCGGAAATGTCCAGCTTGTGCGCGTCGAAAAGCAGAATAATGCGGTCCACTCGTTCGGCGAACCATTCCAGCACTCCAGTGAAGTCGTAGCCTCGGTCTATTCGCTGTTTTTCGCCTGGAAATGACGAAAAAAGATCAGTTATATAGTCCGTGGTCCTGGTCTCCCAATAGAATATTGTAGCAGCTAGAAGAAAGCTTAATTAAACAATTGTTATCAAAAATGCAATAATTTTCTTCTTTTTTAATTTGTTCTTTCTTTGATGTTGAGGGCAAATCCAGAAGAGAGCTGTTCGATATTCACTGGGACTAAACAGCAGAACTCATTGCCAGGACTTTTTCAGTTAAAATTAAAAATATTAACTCTTCCCTCCTTATTTATATTTGAATCCGTTTGCCTAATACATAAGTATGTATCAGCTTCTCAAGAAAAGCCATCTCAGGAACGCGGAGCAAGATCTTTATCTACCTACCCCACGCTCAGAGTTAGTTAAAAGTTCAATATTATACAACTCGAAAAAAATGCACAATCACCTGCCATTTGAAATCAAATCCATAACATCATTTTCTTCATTTCGCAAAGCATTGAAATCTTATTTACTAGACAAGGCTTTCTACGCCGTAAATGGCTTATATTTTGATAATCGAATTTGATCTTGTAAACACTGGTCTAATATTTTCTATTACTATATTCACTATAAACTTACTAAATATTTTTGAATCCTAATTTTATTTCTTTTTATTCTTTGACATTGTAAACATTTATAAATGTTTATTTTAAAATCTGTAAAACAACATCACAAGATAGGGGTAAATAACAAATTTTAGTACTGCAGAGAGATAATGTCAAAAGATACCGGTTTAAAAAAATTAAGATTAAAGTTAATTCACCGACTTTTAAGGTATAAAATTCAGTAAGTGTTATTACTAATAAAATACTTTATTTTATTTATGTTGTGTTTTATTTATTCCTTTGCAATATTATTTTTTTTTATTTGTACATAAGTTATATTGATAAATGTAATAGTAAATGCAGGAAGTTGCTTGAGCTTGAAAGTAAGATATCTTTTTTATACATTTTTTTTTGGTATGTGGTGTTTTGCTTAAAATAAATTCTTGCTTGTTTTGTATATTAACACATACCGTAATTTTTTTTAATAAAATAACTGGATTAATTTTTTTCAGTTTCATATAGTATTTTTTTCACAATATTTTGAAATCACTTGTCACTCAAATTTTAAACATTAATTTTCTGCTATGCGTGCCAATTGTACCAACTTATTTCTTTGTATAATAAAGTAAACTGCTTTGAAATCAAAATGACAGACACATCTATCACTGTCAAGGATTTTGACGCTGGACAGACTATACTATGTTTAAGCTTGGGACTTTTTTAGCGCATTTAATAAAATTTTTAAATAATTATTAAATGTCAATGGTTTTCTTTATTTCCTAGTTTCTTACTTCAAACAGATCTTCCTTAAGACGAAACAAATGTTATCAAGAATGTTTAAATTGGCCCCCCTCTCAAAGTCACAAAGCTATTAGAGGCATCTAGTTTTAAAGTCCTTAAACTTGTAAAACGATAAGTTTGTCCTTTACGGAGAACAAAGCCTTAACAGTAATCTCTCTGGAGGACATAAGGAAATACTTTTCGGTCCTCAAGGAATGCTTCTCCACCGTGTACCTTTTAAGCGTTTGACACTTTAAAATACCTTTCGTCAAAGGGATGCCTGTTGTTCGTGAATATATCGCTTAGGGGAATTCTCAATGTCAATGTGTCTGAATATGGATACTTCACCACAAAAATAAAACAGGTAAAATCATCTTAAAACGTATTTAACATGCAAGAAACGCAACATTTTTCTTTCAGTGTATATTGAACTATTCCTGGGCCTAAAATATGTACATACCACAAAGTTTAGACAGGATTTTGAAACTTTAAAAAACGCTTTAATCTAAAAAAGTACCTATAATATTTTTTAAATGTTTACTTAAACTAAAAGCTTTTTCTAACGAACTATCTAGGTATTTTATCTAAATTGTTTTCTATCTGGTCGTCGATACTTACCTGCAAGAATACCGGGCGTATCTATAATGGTCATTCCTTTCAAAACTGGAGACTTGAGTAGAGAGCATTGGAATCGGTTAAGGAACGCGTTGCCGAACGCCGATAGAGGTCTGAATTGCCTTTTTGGATCCACTACAAGGGCATTGCCTGGAATTACTCCATCGTTTTCACCTAGAATTATAAAAAAACATTAGATTTTTACATACGCGGTGTCCCAAATAAGAATGCACACTACAGAGACCTCGTAAACCTCGTAAGAAGAGATACAATGATGAGTAAATTAGAGAAAAGTTGGGCAATGCTGAAATCGAAATCTAGAAAATTTCGATTATCACATACCCCATTATTTTTTGGAGAAAAATTTTTATTTTTGTTTTTTTCTGATTTGGCATTAAAAATACATACAACCCTAAATTTTCACCCTTTTACCATCAACCCCTATTTTTAATAGGGGTTGTTTTTTAAATTTCTTGTTACCGTACTCTTCCGAAACGCCTTGACCTTGTAAACCTCGTAAGAAGAGATACAATAATGAGTATAGAAAAGTTGGGCAATGCTGAAATCGAAATCTAGAAAAATCCAATTATTACATACCTCATTGGACAAAACTTTTTATTTTTATTTTTTATGATTTGGCATTAAAAAATACATACAACCCTAAATTTCCACCCTTCTACCATCAACCCCTATTTTTAATAGGGGTTGTTTTTTAAATTTCTTGTTACCATACTCTTCCAAAACGGCTTAACCGATTTTGATGAAATTTTATATGTATATTCACTAGGTCTAAGAATAGGTTGTTATCTATTTTTTATACCCCCTAAATGATAAGGGTGACCCACCCCAATTGTTTTTAATTTTTTTATGATTTGGCATTAAAAATTTCATACAACCCTAAATTTTCACCCTTCTACCATCAACCCCTATTTCTTAATAGGGGTTGTTTTTTTAATTTTTTGTTATCATACTCCTCCGAAACGGCTTAACCGATTTTGATGAAATTTTAAATGTATATTCATTAGGTCTGAGAATAGGTTGTTATTTATTTTTTATACCCCTAAATGATAAATAATCCCCCCCCCCAATTGTTTTTAATTTGTTTATGATTTGGCATTAAAAAATGCATACAACCCTAAATGTTTACCTTCCTACCGTCAACCCCTATTTTTAATAGGGGTTGTTTTTTTAATTTTTTGTTACCATACTCCTCCGAAACGGCTTAACCGATTTTGATGAAATTTTAAATGTATCTTCAATAGGTCTGAGAATAGTTTGTTTTCTATTTTTTTATACCCTTAAGTGATAAGGGTGGTCCACCCCAAATTTTTTATTTTTATTTTTTTATGATTTGGCATTAGAAAAAAACATACAACCCTAAATTTTTACCCTTCTACCATCAACCCCTATTTTTTATAGCGATATAAGTAATTCAATAATTTGAATTTAACAACAAATTGTTTTTAAAAATTGTTAGAATACCTTAAATTAAAACGTGAGTATGATTGGGTATACAGGATGGTGACAATTTCGATGCTCAACATTGGCATCTTAAAAACTACAAGAGATACGAATTTGGTTAAATGGAACAAAAGTTGCGTAATTAGAAGTTTGACAAACACCTATGAAGAAAACCCCGGTATCTTGATTAGTTTTGGATTTATGTAAAAAAAAATGAAAATATTACGTTCATTTTAAATGACAATATCTTCAGAACTACTGAATCTATTGTAAAGTAAGTTGGTAGTTTTATATTTTTGACCTTCTCCAATTAAATGCCGTGTTCAGAAAATTTCTAAGCATTCTAGATTTCGCACAACAACAGTCAAGTTTTTTATGGCCGCTATTTTGGATTTTTATACTATTAGGTAGAGCCAAAAAAAGTCTATACGATGGTATCTAATTTTTATGTAAATTCACTAAAAAATAGATTTTTTTAAAAATTCGCCTAAGATCAAGTCTGCCTTGGAAATCCAATTAACACTTTATATGTCAGCAAGTTATTTTTTGTTTATTCTATTAAGTGTCAAATCTGGACGCACAAAAATTGTATAGTAGAGTTCAATACAGGCCAATACAGAACCTAAAATATAATTGTCAAGAATGCCAGCCCAGACGATCAAAGAATATCTTATTTGTGGTCTGGTTTCTCTAATTAAATGAGGATATTCTTTTGCGTAATGTAATTTTTTTTCTCTAAAATGTACCACAATTTGTAAATAAAGATTCATGCGGCCATAATATTTTTCTAGAAAAAAGGGGCTGTCTTGAACACTTTCCCGGAACCAATTGCAAAATTCTAGTCTTCTCTCGAGATCACCAGCACGTAAGTTTGGTACACCTTTAAATTTAAAGTTGTGATATTTATGTTTTTTGATAATTTTTCTTCCAACTTACGTCGCAATAGATACAGTAGTTGTGAAGATATTGTCATTTATAAAAAAGTATTTTAATTATCAACCAACATCGAACTCGCAACCACATAAATACCCCATCCTTCCACCTAGTCTAGCCCTTTACTCTCTCCGAAATAAATACAGAAACCTGTAGTTACACTAACCATACATCACCGCAATAAATTTGTCCGTGGTCGGTTCGGGACCGATCCGCATCCCGGGGAACTCCCTCTCCAGCAGGTATCTGATGAAGGTGGTCTTTCCTGTGGAATATTGTCCAACCTGCAACGGAAAAGGCAGTGAAAAGGTGGAGATAAATGCGCTGAATTAAGACAGGGCCCGGTGTTTTAGAAAGGATCGAGCGTTATCGAGGACGATGTATAAAACATTCGGTCTCAGGCTTGAAGGATTTAGAAAAATGGCCCGAGAAATATTTCTCGAAGCCGGTGGATTTTCGGAGAAGGCAGATATATTTTTTGTGTGTATTTTTTTTTGTCTGAGAGAAGCACAGTGCTTGATACATTTCACATTTCTTTCGTTAACGATATAGGATATAGGAATGATTAACATGAAAACTAGAATATTATATTTCTCCTAAACCCGTGGTGATCCGAACTATATTACGGAAACTTCGGCAGCATATTCTGCAGATAAAAATAAGTAAAAAACTGCGTATAAATGTATGTCTTAAAATGGTTATTTTTGGAGATACAGGGTGTATATAGAAGTTTCATTTTTATTTCGATTTTTTCCAAATAATTTATGAAGTAACGTCAATATTTGGATGAAAATTAACCCATATACCTAATAATAGAAAATAAAAATCACCTATATACCGATCTCTAATATTTTTCGTGATAAAAAGTAAAACATTTGTAAAATTTACAAAAACATGATCTCAAATAAGCATTGGTAAAATCATGAATTGAGCATTATTTTAAAGTTAAAATTTGGGTTATAGATGGAGGAAAGTCGATATATTCGACTTGTTTAAAAGCAACCAATTGGATATCAGACGGGAAGATAAAAGTTATAAAGTTGCTCAAAAATAAACACGATACTATTGATAGATATAGATTTGAAAAGCAATTTAATTAGTCTTGATTTTTTTAACTACTTATAACGATTTACTAAGACTAAAATTGATTGGACTAAAAATTAAATACTTCGTCAGTAATTACCAACAAAATTAGCGGCTTTGCATCAAAATCGGCATCGCTTAGCGGGGCAGAATGGAACTCGTTGAACAAGTAATGCTGCTCCAAAGGTAAAAGCTTATTCTTATAAATGCTCTTCAGTCCATCCACGACGTTCAGAAAGCATTCTGGGTGCGTTTCGGGCACTTTATTTAACCAACTGAACATTGTTTCGATTTTAGCGTTGAGTTTTCATGAAAAATGTTTTAAATTGATTGAATTATTGACGGATTTGTCAAAATACTCGTCAAAAGCCTTGAGTGACTTTGATAGTTATGACAGCAACCTAATTTTAATAGGGTTTAGTTATGGTTAAAGGTGTATTCCGTTGCTTACCTTGGTTATGGTTATAACTGTCACCCGCGCGAGAAGGTTCACTAACCAGCGCGAGAAGGCTGGATTTTCTGGTTTTGTTTGTCAATCAATGTCATTTATGTGACAGAAATCAAGCAAATATTGGAAGTTCGAGTGAAATTCTCATTTAATTTCTAAAATTTGTAATAATATTTTGTATTTACATCCAAAATCAATGAAGGTAGGTAGTAAAGGTAAATAAATTTTATTAACTAAATAGAATGGCTTTTTAGGATCATTTAAACTTATCATGCAGCCATTATCTCTTAAAGTCAGGAACGTTTAAAGAAAACATGAAAAACAAGACAACAAGTTATCGTGAATGTTTTGTAAGCTATAAAAATATAAATATTGAATAGATTTGTTTATTTATTATTGATCTGTTTTAATATTGGACCTGCAAATCTGCACTTGAGCTGTCTAACGAGTTTAACAGTTTATTAATAAAGTACTTTTCAATATTAAACTCCATTGAAAAGAAGAAACAAACGTAAAAGCAGAGAATAGGTACATTAAAAATGCATAAAAGATAAATTTTATAATAGAAGTATTAAAATTTAGAAAACGTCAACATTTGACGTTTCCAGTATTTTACCAAACCGTTCCGTATCAAAACGGTGTTTTTCAGGAATTGAAACGGTGTTTCTCCATGAAAAAAACAGTCGAAAAAGCGAATTTATGGTTAGGAAAAAAAACAAATGGAGTCCTACATCAAAAATTGAACAAATAATCAAAAAACATGTCACATTCCGTTGCTTTTAACTTCATAGCTTTTAACTTCATAACTTCATAGCAGTCATAGCAATTCTTGGTCTATAAAATTACTCACTCCACAAAAAAAAATTGTACTGGCGTAAAAAAAAAGTGTTGCGACGCTACTGACCTCTTTACAGTTACAGTTTCTTTTTATTTTTTGTAGCTTTAGAAGTAATGTCAATCCACTTTTAATTAAAATTTAATTTACTTTAAAATGACAAACTCTAATATCTCTTATTTGTCTTTCTTGTTTTGTTTTGGCGACAACTTAAATGCAACTGCTTATTCTTCGTCGTTTCCAAAGTTAAATTGTATAAACAAACTTTAACCGATATTAATCTACTACAGTAAGCAGCAGTGGCGTCGCTTGGATTTTTGAAGGTTGTACTAAAAAAAGAACAAAAATAAAAAAAAACAGATTTAATAAAAAATTAGGATTGGCTAAGGTTTTTAACATACAAATGTTTGTTATTCTTTAATTATGTTTAGTCATATTATGGAATATGGGTTCGATTATTTTTTTTATCATCATCATTATCATCATCATTTTCAGCTTATTCAACCATTTCCAATTATGGTGTAGCCTCCCTCACATATTTAGATACTCTCTTTGTAGTTGGACCCATTGTAGTCTATTGTTGCTAATTTCCTAATATCATGGTCCCATCTCAGTTTCGGTCTTCCTCTAGGTCTCTTAATTCTTGTGTTAAATAATAAATAATGTTGTTAATAAACACCTCTGTCTCCTCAAAGAACCCCTCAGCAGATTGAAGTGGTTGATTTCAGTTTTGAAACTGCTTTGAAAAAACAGGGAAACACCAAAACACCTCACCATTGTGTCTGCCAAGACGACAACCATTCATGCCAAAAACTTTGGTACGACTGATATCGGAGATGGAGAACTAACCTCTGTAAAACCGTCTCTTATACTGGCTTTTGTCAAAGCCCTGAGACTGCATGATAAATTTTACCTCAAGAAATAAATAAAAAATTGTGTTAGATTTGTTGAACTTAAAGCAGAGTCCTTTACAGTATTAACATTTTTGTGAAAACTGCATAAAACTTTTGATTAAGTAATTAAAGACTTGAATCCACTGTCCCATTCCTAGTGCCGCCACTGGCAACTAGACGCTAGCGCCGGTCTATCAGCTTATCGGCGAACTTAACTTCGAAATTCCTGCGGTGCGCTGTAAAGAGAATCGAAATCAAAGCGGAGTTAATCCTTTGAATAAAGTTTTCTTTTGCGTCTCTATTGTTTCCTTTCTTGAATTTGTCAGTTAGGAATGTCGTTTTTTTCTCGTCTATTTTCCTTTGCCCGCTGGCAATGAGATTAGTTTTTGTCGAAGTTTCACCCGATCCGGGGCAAAAGGAATTTAAGTGAAAAACAAGTTTTCCTTTTATTCGCTTACTTTTCTTTACTGGCGGGGATTTTCTCAAGTAAACTTTGACTTAACTTTGAATTAGTAGATGTGATTCTGTGTTCATAATCTCGTCTGCAACTGTGTACAGTATTATGACAAATTCTTATAATCAATCAATTAGACTCAACGATTAAGGAAATGTCACAGCTTATTCGGTACCAGCATGGTTATCTTCGATGGTTTTTGAGTATTCACCTGCTGCATCAATTTTCTAGTAAGTAGGCAGGCTGGCTATGACTTTACTGTGGTTTTGCTTAGCCAAAATTATTGCATATATTGTTTAAAAAAATATGGAAAGGAATTTAAAGAAACTTTTTTTATACATAGGTTTGATAATCTGTAATAAACATTTTTTTGTTAAAATGGATATGGTAAACAATGTTTATCGTTCAGACCTAATATTACTACAAATTCCTGCACATTTCGATTTGTTGTCTTTTGGGTTTCAGAGGAAATTTTACCATTGTTTTGGCCTTAAAATATCTAGAAACATTATTTCACAGTTTAATAGAGCCAGAATAGTAACACTGACTCAACAGGGCTACCGGCGAGTTACAATAGCTGAAATTGTAGGAGTTAACTAAAGCGATGTTTCGCTAATATTAAAAAAAAATCAGAGAGACAAACGAACTTACAGACTGGGAAGGTAGAAATTACTACTGCTGTGCAAGATCGAAAAATATCTCTAATTGCTCGACGCAATCCCTTTCTTTCTAGTACTGCTATTAAAAATGAGTTAGCTCGCCTTGAAGGAGTAAATGTTTCAAGAAAGACCATAGCAAGAAGACTCCATGACAGAGGATTACATTTAAGGAGGCCTCTACGTGTTCCGAATCTTAATTTACAGCACAAAATTACGCGAATACAATGGGCTGAGGAGATGAGAGCAAATGGACCTAATTGGAATTTTGTCATATTTAGTGATGAAACAAGAATAGGCCTTCGCGACGAACTTTGGTCTGGAGAGCATCTGGAAGACGAGCACGCTTGAATGCAGCTCAACCCCGTGTCCCGTTTCAAGGGGGAAGCATTATGGTATGGACAGGTATAATGCACGGAGCTCGAACTCCTCTTGTTTTTATTGATGGCACAATGACAGGTGCCTCATATCTTAGAGATGTTTTAGAGCCTATTGTGCGTCCATTTCGAGGGGCAGTGAGGGATGAATTTGTTTACATGGACGATAATGCTCCTCCCCATCGCACTTTAGCAGTTCGCGAATTTTGTGAGGAAGAGGGTATAAGGAAAACTGTGGTGGCCACCGATTTCTCCAGATATGAATGTGATCGAGCATTAGAATTTTAGAATTTAGAATGAGTGGGAGGGGGGTTAATCACTTCGACCTGTGATCGAGCATGCTTGGGACATGCTAAAATGCCATATTGCCAAAAGGAATGATCCCCCCGTACATTAAATGAATTGAAAATTGCTGCGCGCGAAACATGGGAAGCCATTCCTCAACATCATCTGGACAACTTAATTGAGAGCATGCCACGTCGTCTCACAGCTTGCATTGAGGCTCGAGGAGGCAATACAGACTATTAGTTGTGAGAAATAATTAAAATTGTTTTCAGTATTTTCTGTTTAAATGAAATTTGTTTTTGTTGATTTTCACTCATTATGAAAGAAAATTATAATAACAGCCTAGTTGCACTCCAAAAATATAAAAAGTATCATATTAGGTCCAAAATTAGACGAAACTAGTAGAAATTATACGAAAGTATACATGGCTCTCTGTAATTAAAAATATCAAAATAATGTTTTACATTTATATACACTCTGTACATAACAGATATCGTCAAAGTCCATTAGTCAGTATCTTCTAACAAATTCATTTCGTAGACACGGCCTGCTGGTACCAATAGCTACGACAAGCTATCTGTAAAAACCATAAAAATTTAATGATGAAACCAATAAATGAGCCCAGAGTTAAGGTTTTTAATGTTTTGGACTGTAGGTATAATTTTCTAAAGATATTTATAGTTATTTGATAATTTTATTTTGAAATAAACATGTCCGATTAATGCGTATAACAGAAATGAAGAAAAAGAATCAGAAGTAAAGATTTGTAAGTAGATTTAAAGGAATAAAATTAAGTCTTACTAAATTTTGAACAAGAATATTATGTATTTATATCATAACTTTCAGCTGCAATTAAAAGATTTTAATATCATTAAATAATAGTCGAAAAACTCGAGAATACTTTATGAACAACCGGTCCGAAGAAAGAACAACCTACGCAGTGAGTCTGACAAAAGCCCAATAAATAATCAAAATCAGATCGTTATACCATGAGATAACCCTTGTTTAAGTCATGAGCTTTTCTTCGAAGGTACCTTTAAATAACATTCGTTGTCATACCTTTTGGTCTTTAGCTCTCCTTTTTTATATCTCTGTTTTTGGTGGTAAATTGAACCCACCCAGAATCCATCCCATTGTTTTCATGGTTATGTATAGGAATTATGGAAATATATAGTACATTATGGATATATTATTGGTGTTTATTGTGGTGTTTTATATAGAATAAATATAATTATTATTATGACTACCTTCTTCTTATTATGACTATCTTCTACCTAAAATCGTTTTATCCAAAACAGAGATATCAACATTATTATTATTACATACATACATACATACAGCCGTTACTCGCTGACGAGTATTCGACACACATAAAGAAAATGGTCATGCAAGGCGTTTTCTTTCATGAGCTTTTCTGTG